ACCTGGGCCGGAGGAAGTGCTGGGCCTCACTCTCCTTCCCCTCCTCCACCCCTTTGCGCCCTTGGACTCTTCGCCTGTGCGTGTGTGCGTGCGTCCTCACCTTTTAAATAAACTATCACTTTGTGCACCGCACATACGCTTGTGCTTAGAGTGTTTCTCTAGGTAGAAGGCAAGGACCTGGAGTAAAAATTAGACCCCACTTGCGAACCTCCCCAGAGATCCGGCACGGGTCCTGAGCCCTGCCCAGACCCCAGGCGGTTTGTGTATCCACTCAGGGCACTGCTCCTACCCCGTGAACGTCTGCAGCAGGTGCCCCCGGTCACTCCCGAGTGTGGACTGTCTCTTCACTCTCTTTAAATAAAGCTGCTCTTGCACTTTTCCCACGCCTGGCCTCTGAATTCATCTCTCCCACGGAGACTGGAACTGGGGGTAAATCCAGCTGAGGGCCCCATCTCACGAGATAAATAGGCGATGCTCCTGGCTTTGTACAGTTCTTCATTGAGTACCTGGTTGCCAAGCACGCGCTGTGTGCCGGGACCAGGCGGTGGGAGAGGCCTCCGGAGTTGAGAGCAGGCAGAGTTGAATCCCAGGCGCTGTAGCACCAGGACCCATTTTCTCAGCGATCTGATTACCTTGGGGGGCGGGAGCAGGAATGGAGCACGAAATGAAATAACTGAAAATGAGAAGATGTTTATATTGGGTAAGAGCAGATGAAGAATAAAATCAAAGATATTAAAATGAGGAGATGGCAAACATCACCCGGGAGGGGCAATGTGTTCTACCGTGTGGACGCCTGGGCTCCCGGAGGGGGAGGGGGAGGGGGAGGGGGAGGGGGAGGGGGAGTGGGAGGGAGAGGGAGAGGGAGAGGGCTAACCCAAAGCTGGAACCCGGGGACCTAACCCAGCCCGCACACTGGTGGCCGGAGCCCGGCTACCTGACAGCCTTTCTGGCATCCATTCCTGCCTCTCAGGATGGGCGTCAGCTGGACCTGGGGGTCCCCAAGGCCGACAAGCACAACAGGCGGTGACTAAATGTCAAGTAGGGCATTATTCGATTGTGTTGTGCAAATCTTCTCCGCCTCCACTTTTCGTCTACTTAGCAATAATCGAGAAAGGGATACGAGATATCCCACCCTGGTTAAGCAGGTGTCTGTTTCCCACCAGGTGCTTTTCGTTCCCCATCTATTTTGCAACTTATTTTTGAATAGGATGTAAGTGAGAAATCTAGCACAAATTTATAGGCATTCAAGAACATAACGTAGGTTATGGGTAAGTGAATGACAGACTTCAGGATTACCTTCATTGGAGGATAGGGACTATTTAGCCCATATGTCGGCTCTAATTAGAATGACTTATTTTTAGGTTTCACAGCCCAGATTAATTGCTTCATCTAGGTTACAGCAACTATTTTAATCAAAGTGCATGTCACCAAAAATGGTGTGGGTATTGTGGCACAGTGGGTTAAGCCCCTCCTCCGGATCCCACATCCTGTATCACAGTGCCTGGGATCAAGTCCCACCTCGGCTTCTGATCCATCTCCCTGCTAATGCACCTGGGAAGGCAACAGAAGACGGCCAAGTGCCTGGCCCCTGTCACCCACGTGGGAGATCAGGATGGAGTTCCTGGCTTGTGGCCTCAGCCTGGCCCAGACCCAGCTGTTGCAGCCACTGGGGAGTGAGCCCACAGGTGGAACACCTCTGTCTCTCGCTCTCTCTGTTGCTCAGCTTTTCAAATAATTATTTAAAAGATTAGATTGAATCCCATGGAGTTGTCTACATTTGTCTTCGAGCTACAAAAACAACAGTTTTTACAAAGCAAGGATGTTTTGTTACACTTGTTTGTTTGGTACAGGGAAATGCTGGGGGCTGGTTAGATGTCTTATGCCTGTGTTGTTTAGAGCAGCACGAAACAGGGTTAATCTAATGTCAAACAGTAAATCACACCACATCCATATCGCAGATTTAAAATTAAAATTAGTTTTATTAAAGATTTATTTGAAAGGCAGAGTTACAGAGGACACATACACAGAGAGAAAGAGAGAGAGACAGAGAGAAAGAGAGAGAGAAAGTTTTCTATCCATTGATTCACTCTCTAGATGGTCACAACGGCCAGACTTGGGCCAAGCCAAAGCCAGGAGCTTCATCCAGGTCTCCCATATGGCACAGGGGCCCAAGCACTGGGGCCATTCTCCTTTGCTGTCCCGGCACATTAACAGGGAGCTGGATGGGAAGTGGAGCAGCAGGGACATGATCAGGTGGCCATATGGAATGCCGACATTGCAGGTGGTGGCTTAACCTGTCACGACACACCACCAATCCCAAAATTAACATTTCAGATTAATTAATAACCCAATGTTTGTGTTCTCATGAACATACAATTTGATGGCAGTTCCATGATATTAAATTCTATCCATATTTACATATGTTGGCAACTCCCAAAGGTAAACCTGAAGTCCAGTCTCAGACGTTGTTTGCTGTTCACCACCTCCATTTGCTTTCTTTTGATTTAAAATGTTTGTTTAACCTTTTGAATGGGTTAGAGAGAGGGAAGGAGAAGAGAGAGAGGTCATGCATCTGCTGGTTCTCTCCCCAGAGGGCTACAAAGGCTGGGGCTGGAGCAGGGCAAAGCCAGGAGCCTGGAACTCTGTCCGGGTCTCCCACGTACAGGGCAGGGGCTCAAGGACCTGGACCATCTTATGCTGTCTTCCCCGGTGCCGTATCAGGTGGCTGATAGAAGTGGAGCAGCCAGGACTGAAAGCGGCCCTCATTCGGGAGGGCTGCTGGCACTGCAGGTAGCGCCTTACCCCCCTCACAACGCTGGCCCTCACCACTCTGCGTAGATATCTAATCAAAACTTGAAATTCAACATATCCGATCTGCAAAACCTGTTCGCCCCAAAGCCTCATGGTTCTCGGTAAACGGCACTCCAGCTGCACCCTCCCGGCTGTCCAGGCCTGAATCCTCAGGTCTGACTCTTCTTTTGCTCCTGTTGCACACTCAATCCTGCCATCTCTGGCTCTCGCTTCAAAATACGCCCAGCCCCCGCGAGGGGCATCAGCACAGCCCCTGTGGAAAAGAGCAGCCAGGTTCCTAGCCGCCCCGTGTGGCATCCCACCACTGCATTTAGCGTGGTACTGTTCACCACAGTCAAGAGTGGGATCAGCTGAGGTGTTCACGGAGATGAGTGGATAAGGAAAACGCGGAGGCTGGGTGGCACAGTGGGTTAAGCTGCCGCTTGATGCCCACATCAGAGCACAGCTCAAGTCCTGGCTGTTTTCACTTCTGGTCCACTTTCTTGCTGATGAGCTGCTTGGAAAGGCAGAAGACTGCCCGGATTCCTGGGCCCCTACCACTCATATTGGAGACTGAAGGAGTTCATGGCTCCCGGCTCTGGCCTGTCCAGCCCTGGGGGCTGCAGGCATGTGGGGAGTGAACCAGCACAAGGAAGATCTATCTTCCCCCTCTGTCTGTTGGTCCACCTTTGAAAATAAACAAATCTTAAAAGAAAGGCATGCACAATGGAGCATTGTTTAACCACAAAAAAGAACGAACGAAATTCTGCCACTTACGGATGGGATTGGAGGACATTAAGTGAAATAAGTCAGGCACAGAAAGGCTGTATGCTCTCAATCATATGGTGAAGGTAATAAAGGTGATTGTGGGGTGGGCTTTTAGCCTCATTTTTTTCCAAAGATTTATTTATTTGAAAGTCAAGAGTTACACAGAGAGAGGTCTTCCATCTGCTGGTTCACTCCCCAACTGGCCACAACGGCTGGAGCTGTGCCGATCCGAAGCCAGGAGCCAGCAGCTTTACCCACTACTCCACAACACTGGCCCCTCCCTTATTTTAAAAAATTATTTAATTATTTGAAAGACGGGGAAGAGGCAGGGATGTGGTGGAATGAGAAGTCCATGCCAAGGTGGCCGCTGGCAAGCCAGCGTCAGTTACTCAGGAATGGCTTTGAATCCCACCTGGCAACGGAGCCTGCCTGCCAACAGGCTGTGATTGGATGGCTTTGAAACTGCCTGGCAACAGGCTGTGATTGGTTGGGGCATAGACCGCCCCTTGACCAGATTGGCTGGTCTTGACTATATAAGATGTTGTAGCAACTGAAATAAACTGAGTCTGCAGGCTGCTTGCCTCAGGCCTGCTTTCACCCGACTCCCGGGGGTCTGTGTGGTGACTCCGCTCCTCCTCTCGGAAACGAATCCCCTGCAACACAGGGAGACACATAAAGATCCTCCACCTGCTGGTTCACTCCCCACACCGCTGCAGACGGACCCAGCAACTCCACTCAGGTCTCTCACGCTGGTGGCAGGGGCCCGAGGACTTGGGCCATCTCTTGTTGCTTCCCCAGGGACAGGAGCAGGGAGCAGGATGAGGAGTGGAACTGATGCGGGTGGTGCCGGCAGTGGCTTCACTGGCTGCCCCGCAGCACAGGCCCTTTCCTTCTTCCCATGTCCACATCCAGCTGGTTGTTTCTCTAACACATGGTTCTTTCCAAGAAACGCTGTTCAGCTGGAGCCAGAGAGCCCTGCCCTGCACTGACCCTGAGCTCTCCCCTGGACGTCTGATCTCACACTCCCCGTGTCCACAGGGAGCCAGTGTTCCTCCCACTGCCTTGCTTTCCCGTCTTCCCCAGCGGGTTACAGGGAACCCCGTAGCCAGTGAGACCCTGGCTGCGAGTCCATTGACCACAGTGGCCCCAATGCTGCCGCAAGTCCTGTCCTCCCATCACCACCCAGCCACTACACGGACGGTCACGGTCGTGTTTCTCTGTGACTCCTACATTAGCGTGCACACTCTGACACAGCTGGACTTCTGTATGCACTTTAAGCCGCCAGGAATTGGTTTTTCTCGATGACATGAGGCAGGGTTCCGGATGAGGGCTGCCCAGCGGGCTGCATTTTCATTACGTAATGGCTTTCACCTTCCTGCCTCCTCCAGTCGCTTACCTGTGAGACACTCAGTGTTAGGACACCACAATAACGAAGCAAAACAAAGTATCAACCCCAGTTTTATTTGTAAAGAACAAAGCATGAAAAGTCATATTTAAATGTACTCCAAAACCTGAAAAACCCACGTCAGTTTGTCTGATATGTATGTTAAAGTGCTTCATATCACAATACTCTTTAAGTTTTGTACTACGTTCAGATGAGGAAAAAAAATCCAGTTCTGATGTGTTAACGATACAAAGGAGAACAATATAATTTAAATGCAGACACGCTGTAATTTAGAAAAAAAAGACACACAGGGAACATTTACATATGGTTCAAGAGTAACACGGAGGACTTCTTCGGAAGGTTCCACACCCTCACGACGGAACGGAACGCACTGTGCACCTCCACCGTGCTGAGAATAGAGACTGGGTTCACACCCGCGTCTACGCAGACTACTGACCAAGAACGTGTCCCTCCTGCATAACCCGAGAGACACCAGAGAAATTACACTTGCAGGGTCTTTCTCACGCGCATCAGCGGCTTTCCGAAGCCGTCTTCACGTCTTCACGCGGCCCCTCAGAGGGCCGGCGGCGCTGACCCCTGGAGGATGCGGTGTCCTCCCGTCCTCTTGGTGACACATCAGCTGCCTCTTCAGAAAGCGAGGCGTTCCGCTCCACTCCACGGACTCGGAAGCGTCTTTAACAGGAATGAAGAGCCCCGAAGTCTACACTTGTTTCCGTGTCTCCTATTCATGCTAAGTGCGAATTTAATAAACACTTACAGACAGAGATTCCAGAGACAGGGAGGGCTTGGGAATAGGAGCTGCTTTATGAAAAGTGGAGCAGGGCTCAAGACTGTTCCCAATCAGTGAAGGTGTGGTAATACTGAGAAACACACAGCTCCAGGGCAGACCGTCCCCCGGCAGAGGGACAGGGACACACCAGCTTCTGTAAACCTCACAGAAAACGCAGTTCCCTAAAGGAAATCTGCTGGAAACCCTAACGGAGCAGAGCTGCCCGCCCCACTGCCAGGACGCCCTTCCTGGGGCCCCGGGGGCCTGCGATGCCGCCCGCACAGTCCAGGGCATCCCAGCCCCCCGCCCCCCACGACACACCAGCGCCTGGCAGTCCTAAGCTTCCCTTTTCTCCTACATTCACACACAGCAGAGCTTTCCTGCCACAAAAGGAGCTGGGGCCGCGCAGTGCTTCCCCGGCGTCACTCACAGAGGCTCACTATGGCTTCTCCGAGTCACGGAGAATGCGCGGGACATCTCAGAGCGCGCTTAGAGGGAACCCAGGCTTCCCCAAGTCCAGGCGCCCCCTGCGAAGATCTGAGCCGGAGCGGGAGAGCAGCGGCCTTCCTCCGGTTTTTGAAGCTGGCTTTTTCTCCCACCTACAGGGCGCTTCCTGCTCCTTCAAACCAAGCTGCCCTCATTTTTAAGGTGGCCCAGCCAGGACAGATACAGGACCTCACAGGAAACGCCAACACTGCAGGAATGCCACTGTGTCATAAAGGCTGAGGGGTTTCGTATTAAAAAAAAAAAACAAAAACAAACAAAAAAAAGCTTGGGAAGCAAAGTTTTCCAGGTGTAGTATTTTTGGCAGCTTAATTTTAAAATAGTTCCTTGTCAAGCCATTATTATGTGGAAATACTCATTATGGTCCCAGGCTTCAGATTTTATTTGCAAGGAAAAAAAAAGGCAATTATAAAACTGACTTTTACTTAAGTTTGAGATAGAATTATAAAGCAATACATTAATTTCAAATATGGCAGAAAGGGTATTTCTAGAGGTAGGGATGGCCCTCCCCCTAGAGTCCGCTTGAAGCTTGAAGGCTTCATCCTTATTCTAAGGATTCTGCTGCCGCTGTGCTCAGAACCTTTCTCTACTGGCTCAGACAGGTAAAAAAAACTTCCCACCGCACTGCCTAGAGGCCCCACACTCAGCTGACACACTGTTGTACTCATGCACTTCGGATCCGAAGGACTTCATGCCATTTCCGGATATTAAACTGATTCTGAGAGGTCATGATTCACTGCCACTGGGAAGGTTCTCAGGCACGGGCTGTGGGCAGCCAGCACACGGGCTCCAGGGTGACCAGGGCCCCGCACGGCAGAGCGGGTGCCAGTTCTTCCGCGTGTGCGTGTCGCCGCGCTGCTGCAACGTACTACACAAAGTGGGGGAAACTCTAGGTGGGGCCTTCCCTCAAGTTATTACTTTTCAAAGCAGCAGCTCAACTCACAGGCCCCAAATGCAACGCTGCTCCAGCCTTCCACAGCAGATGCAATCCCTGCTAAGAGTGGGAATTGAGAGTAGCATGTGGAAATGAATACTAATGCTCACGGGTGAACGTTAGCCATTATCTCCTACCCATGCAGGTAGAGGGTAAAGAGCCAAGAGGACAGAAACCAGCACTGCGGACGCTCTGACTGCTGGTCTCCTGCAGGCTGTGACCTGATCCCATGACTTGTACTCCCTGTGTTGTGGCTGACAAGCTGGGGTAAGGGTAAGAATCTACCCTCTGGTCCTTAAGCCTTCCCATCTACAGAACCTGGGGCTGGGCCACAGGGCTGGGGGCCACAACACTCTCCCAGGTGGTCTTCCTGGCTGCCCAGCTGTGTCAGATGCGCACCTTACGGAGCCCTTCCCTCTGATCACTACCCAGCGGATGGATGGTCTGATGTCTCCACAACAGACAAGCGCCACACCGCTTCAGTAAACAGGTGTCTGCTCTGTCCCCGCGGCACAGCCCTCTTCAGTCCTCCTCGCAGGTATCTGAATGCAGCCAGCAGCCGCCACAGGGACTGCTGCCCGCCTGATCTAATCCAGTGCTTGACAAAGGGAAGGAGGCACTTACTTGGTGAGTTTCTTCCTTCAGCAAGTAAGGTAAGTTACACAGATGGCTCAAGCCCTGGGCCTTAGACTACGCCAGGGCCCTGGGAGGCAGGGGCGGCCATCACGGTGCAGTGGGTGAGGCCCCTGCCTGCAATGGTGGCATCCCATGTCTGCCTGAAACGCGCCTGACCGAACGGCTTCCACGGCAGCTTCCTGTTAACACCCAGCACTTCAGTCTCCTCCACCCGTGGAGGAAATCCAGGTGCAGTTCCTGGCTCCTGGCTTCAGCCTGGCCCAGACTCAGCTGTTACAAGCATTTGGGGAGCGAGTCACTGTCACTTTGCCTTTCAAGTAAATAAATAAATAAATAAATAAGTCTTAAAAAAAGAAAAGAAAAGAAAAAGGATCCTGGGAGGCTCTGGGTGGCTCTGTCCACACCTGGGACCAGTCAGTGCCTGACAGGAGTCACGGGGCCCACACAGAGGGTGGCACTTCCCGAAGGTCTCTGTGAAATATCACACCAGAAAGCCACTCTCAACTCCTGCTCCTCCTGCCTCCGCTGTCAGTGGCTCCTGCTTTCCCAGGGCCAGCTGCTGGTGAGGACAAGTCTCACAAAGGAATGCAAAGTTTGCCCTGGGACCCGGGGTGGGCTGTTCTCTGCTTCTGTTGTTTGCATTATCAATGGCAACGAATACTCCTCCTGGAGCCGGCCTCCTCCCACTGCTGGGGGGTGGGCCTGCAAGGGTGATCTCTGAGGGGTCCAGGACCACCTCAGGGCAACTCACACAAACTCACATCTCCCCAGAGGACCTCCAAGAGCAGGACTGATGACGCCAAGAATGAGGCTGGTCCAGGCTCCCATTTCCAAAGTGGGCCTCAGGGCTTTCTGTGTTCTCTGCAGAGCAGCGCGCTCCGGGGGCTACTATTTAAAATACTGGAATTCTGCCTTTGTCTTGTGCCGACTGCAAAACGTTTCCAAAAGACTGGAAAAGTGACTGACAGTTCAAATGTATAAAACGGTCTGTAACTTAAAAGACACAAGTGAGGACTTGGGGTACAGTAGGTAAAGCTGTGGACACTCACAGCACAAAGGGACAGACACAGACACCAGGATGGACGGCTGGGACACAGGACGCACTCTGGCTCCCTCGCCTGCAGTCACAGCTCCGTGGCTTCCCCCTGACCACAGCACGCCCCCCCACCCCGAGCATCTTTAAGCTACTTATTTTAAGTCACAGGAATATTCAGTCTAAGAAAAGTATTTCAGTAGAGTAATATAATTTCTTAAAGAAGATAGCATATTTACACACATCTAACACATGAAAATACTCTATTTTATACTAAATTTCAGGTTCAAATGAACTACGATACAGCATTTTGCCTTGTCTGCAGAGTGAGGATTGTTCAGGTTGGGGCACGTGGTGTGCTGCCCTTGTAGTGTCTCACTTAGCCAGACAAGTTCAGGTGGGTTCCCGAGGCTGGGGCAGGCTCAGGAGCCGGGGTCAGGACAGTTTCCAGCCAGCGGGGCTACACATCTACGCCTTTGATGAGGGAGCCTTCTAAGACTATGCTGAAGTCCTGAATGGTGTGCAGGATTCGGATGAGCGAGTTGACGGTCATGCGGTCCCGCAGGAGCGCGCTCTCCTCGTACATCCTGGTGATGGCAGGACACTCGGCCAACAGCGGGATCCACTGTGGGAGCAGGTGGTCCCTGCAGACCCAAACAGAAATGGACGTGAGCAAAGGGACGTCACTTTCGGTCCAACAACACACGTCTTGGCACTCTCAAGCGGGAAGGTGTGGGGAGCCTGGTGTGGAATCCAGCCACGCCTTAGGGTGAGCTGAGCAGAGAGGAAATCCAAGCAGGAAGCTGGGTACCTGCTAGTGCAAACATGGAAGGTGAACCGAAATCCACCAGATTCCAAAAGTCGGTGAGAAAGTCATGCATTAAATTCTCTATTCTGATCTTACCAACTTTACAAAGAGGCAAAACGTCATTTTCTATGTCTGTTTTACAGATGTGATACTTTCTGCCGAAGATCACATTAAATAGCAGTGACCGGGGCCAGCACTGCGGAGCAGCACATTAAGCTGTGGCTTGCCAACACCGGCATCCTGAACTGCAGTGCCAGTTCAAGTCCCAGCTACTTTGCTTCTAATTCAGCTCCCTGCTAATGTGCCTGAGAAGGCAACAGATAACAGCCCGGGTCCTTGAACCCCTGCCACCCAAGTCAAGCACCAGGATGGTGTTTCCTGTCTCCTGGTTTTGGTCTGACCTAGATCTGGTTTCTCTGGGCATTTGGGGAATGAACCAAGCGAGGAAAGAGCTCTGTCACTCTGTCAAATAAACAAATCTTCAGAAACAACAATAAAAAGAGCAAAGAATTCCATTTCCCCCTTCATCACAAGGTAGGGAACAAAGGCAAAGCAGACAAACATTAAGGAGACTGTATAAGCATTGGCCTGATAAATGGTAACAGCACAGAGATAAGAGGAGATAAGATCATGCTCAAAAAGAACTTTAAAAGCACAGCTATAACGTGGTCCCTTTTCCTCGGAAGAAACGCGGAACTCAGCTGTATGAACTTTCCGAGTCGGGAGGACAGAATCTCACCCCCTCAATGTTTCCTCGTCACACTGGGCACTGCACCCCGCTGCGAGGTCCCGGGATGTCCTCACTCAGCACCCTCCCCTGTGCCTCTCATGACCAGCATAACCAGAACCAGATCATTCTGAATCTCAAGTAGCCTAAAAACAACAAAAACTAAGGGTGTGCGTGTTCCATTGCCTGCAACCCAGAGAACTGTTAGCACTAAGGGAAGTGGGGCAGGCATGGAGCCTGCTGGTTCAGACGCTGGTTGGGATGTCTGCGTCGCACGCTGAAGTGCCCGGGCTCCAGCTCCCTGCGGATGTGCACCCCGGACACGGCGGCAGCAGCAAGGAGCTGGGTTTGTGCTCTCACCGCAGAGGCCACGGCTGTTCCTGCCTTCTCGCTCTGGCCCTGGACTGGCTCAGGCCACTGTGCGTATGTGTATGAACCAACAGATGCATGCCTCTCTCTCTCTCTCTCAAATACATCAATGAATATGCACACATGTTTAAAAATTAATTGTAGGTGCTATTTTCAAAAACTAAAGGGGAAGGTGTCGGGCACAGCAGTTACGGCACTGACTGGGATTCCTTATCAGAGCACCGCCACTCAAGTTCTGGCTCTGCTTCTAATTGCAGCTTCTTCCTGTCGTGCACCCTTGGGGGCAGCAGGTCATGCCTCAAGTACCTGGGCCTCTGCCACCCGTGTGGAAGACCTGGATGGAGTTCTTGGCTCTTGGCTTCAGCATGGCACAGCCCTGGCTGTTGTGGGCATTTTGGGTGTGAACCAGTAGATATAACATCTCCCTCTGTCTCTCTGCATTTCCTTTTTTCCATTATTTAAAGAGATTTTATTTATTTATTTTAGAGGTAAAGTTACAAAAAGAGAGAGGGAGAGACAGAGAGCAACGTCTTCCATCTGCTGGTACACTCCCCAAATGGCCACAACAGCAAATGCTGGGCTGATCCAAAGCCAGGAGCCAGGAGCTTCTTCCGGGTCTCCGACACAGGTGCAGGGGCCCAAGTATTCGGGCCTTATTTCACTGCTTTCCCAGGCCAGCAGTGGAGAGCTGAATAGGCAAAGGGGCAGCCGGCACACGAACCAGCACCCATATGGCATGCCAGTGCCGCTGGCGGAGGTTTAGCCTATTACGCCACAGCACCAGCCCCTCTCTCTGCATTTCAAATAAAATAAAGATAAATAAAAGTTCAAAAAATAATAAAGGGGTAGGGAACAGTCTTAAAGAGCTGACATTTATATAGCAAGAAGCCCACCCACAATGTTATTAAACTAAAAGCAATACAGTAGCGTATGACACCATGCAGGGTCTACACAGTGAGTTCGCACATGTGTGTGGAGATATGTCCGGTCATCCCGGCTCCTAGTCATGACCTCTCTAGGACTTTTGGGGCTGGCTGTGAATCTTGGCTCTCTTTCTTGCTGTTGGCCTTGGGAAAGTCTGCCAGTGTGTCTGTGTCTTAAGTGTCTATTCAATGGGAAGACTGGCTGCTACTTCGTGTGGTAGTGGTGAAGTGACAGGAGGGTACCCAGAAAACGGCCATCTCACAATCAAAAACCCAAGGGAGGGCTTTGAAGGGGTAACGCTGGGCAAACATCCTCCTGGATTCTCATTCAACAGGCAGCAGAGACAGCGAAGGAAAAAACCAGCTTAATACCGTGTTCCAAGGCAAACGAGAATCTGGAATTTGCCATCCTTTCCGATGCTCCTGGGTGCGGTGTTGATGGCGGTCACGTAGTGGCAGAAGGTTCTGCAGGATGAGTTCTGAGTAAGGACATCATCTTCACTGTCCAGAATCTGGTCAGTGGTTTCAAAGTAAGCAACCGCTTTCTCTGGGGAAGGAAACCAGAATCCCATCACGACACACGCCGGCACTGCGCACACAGAGACACTCAGCAGTGTGTTCCGGGAATGCTGATGACGCTGTGTGAAACTGCAGACCCTGAAGCCTACGTCACTGCTCATCACTGCCTTCAGAGCAAGGTCCAGAGGTAATGCCTCATGGCAGAACAACACGCTCACAAGAACTTACTTTCTAATCTGGACTGCGTTCCAGAATGTTGGAAAGTTTATTTTTTTTCAAATGCCTTCATGAAGTAGCAAAAAAGAAAAAAAAAAAAAAGAAACGCAGAATATTCTCAGACTGGAACCTTCTAGGAGGAACTAGAAGTGGTGCAGTAGCCACTAAGACAGTCTCCTCTGTTCTGGAAAGAGAGTGCCTGGCTAGCACTCTGCGTCTGAGTAAGCCACGTGGGGAGAGACAGGATGCTGCACACCCCCGAGGCAGGGGCGCCAAGGGCCTAGCCGGTCCACGAGGAACAAAACAAAACAAAAGCCACTCCTGGGTCCCTGCTCTGTCAACTCTTCTTTGTCTGAAATGTGTGTGGTAGATGAAATCGCCCACCCCATTTAGGCCTGACTTCTAGAACACAGAGTGACTGATCGCCCCATTAGAGAAACTGGGGGTTCCGGAAGAGCGGCAGACCAGCCACAGAGCACCAAGCCTGGCCGGTTGGCGCAGCTCCTGGGCCCCAGCAGCCCAGGGAGCGCTCTGAGACAAACGTCTCCACCTTGCGAGGCCCAGCTGGGCAGCCACCAGGAACAAGAGGCTCCTAAGCAGTGGAACATGGCAGCAGGGCTAGGGAAACCAGTGTTCACCACAGCCCAAGCTGAATCGACTTGGACTCAAAGTCATGTGTGGCTAGTGGTTCCCCTCCTGGCTAAGAGCTACAAAGTCCTTTAACAATAGATGATGTTGCTTCTCAGCTCAAAGCCTTCCAGAGGCTTCCGCTTCACTCAGGGTGAAGGCCAAGTCCTCGGGATCTCTGATCTCCTCACCGGCTCAGCCCCACTGGGCAGGACACACTGTGCGTGGGCAGTCCTCTCACCCTCCTCCACACGGCTCCCCGCCCCCTCCTCGGCCTGGGCCCACAGCCACCCATCACAGGAGCACTCTCACTCCACTTCCTCACTCCACGCTGTTTCTTCCAGATGACTGACTGCTGCCACACTCAATCAGCTCCTCCTTGTTCTGCTTTTGTGTGCTGTCTGCTCCCTACACCCATCTGAATGCAAGTTTGTCAGCCTTAGGGACTTCTGTTTTGTTTACTGGTGCGTGTCTCGAGCATCCAGAGTCGCGTCTGGGATACTGTGCACTAAAATCATTTGTTGAGTGAATGAAAAGCAGTGCTTATTGGGTATTTGTTTCTAAGAACATACTCCCTTAATGTGAACCTTTATTCACTCAAATTCTGGGGTTGCTGAATTTTCCTAAGAGGCCTGACAACACACATCGCCCTCAGTTACCTATGAAGTCCCAGATGAAGACGTTCTTGTGAAAGATGCGGGCAGACTTGAAACCATGGTGGAACACCTGCTCGAGAGCGGCCACCAGGCCATTTTCCCCGCACAGCAGGACCGTGAGGCTTCCTCTCTGTGGAGAAGAACAGAGTCCAGGAAAATCTGCTGCATCTGTCTGAGCAGCGCCAGCGCAATGAGGGCCCAGGGGAGCGACCGGACACGCCCGCACGCAGCCTGTGACAGGAAGCTTGCAGGGAAGAGTGCGGCCCTGTGCATCGCCCCGTCAGGTGTAAAGGGCTTTTGAAGTCCCACCATTCTAAATGTTATGGCCCCAATACCTCTTTTTCAGGTTTGTGAAAATGTTTCACAATATTGTTCACGGCTTCTCCAATTCCTTCTTGGATCTGCCCAGCACTGGGTTCTGTAAAATAATGAACAGGTGCTGCATTCTCGGGTGAGACAGAAAAACTCTAGGGTACCAACTGTGTCCACCTGTGCAGAAACACGGCACTTGTACACGCAGACTGGCCACTGGCAGGGCCACCCACAGTGAATGCACCCACAGAGATGCCTGGGTGCAAATGCCACCCTTGGAGCTGGCACTGGGGTGCAGTGGGTTAAACCACGACCTGCAGTGCCAGCATCCCATATGGGCACCAGTTCTACTCCCAGCTTCTCCACTTCTGATCCAGCTCCCTGCTAATGTGCCTGGGAAAGCAGCAGAGGAGGGCCCGAGTACTTGCGCCCCTGTACCCACATAGGAGAACTGGAAGAAGCTCCTGGCTTCAGCCTGGCCCCGTCCTGGCCGTTGCAGTCATTTTGGGAATGAACCAGTGGATGGAAGATCTTTCTCTCTCTAGCTTTCCCTCTCTCCTTCTAACTCTGCCTTTCAAAATAAATAAAATAAATCTTAAACAAACAAACAAACAAAAAAACGTCAGCCTTGCTACTCCTACTAGGTCACCCTCACCGAGGTCTCACTTCCTCTGTTTCCTTAACTGAAAGTAGGGACAACACACATCTCGTGGGGAACACGGAATGCGCTATCAGGGGGAGTGAGGTGGGGGAAGCCCCAGACCCCAGCGTGGCTGCCTGGATGCTCCTTCACGTCCCTGCCTCTGAGGCCCTCTGGGGCACGCACCATGGCTTCTGAAGCTCTGGGTGGCAGACCTGGAGTTAGGAGTCTTGCTGCTATGATTACAGGAAGAGGCAGGCACCCTGTGGGACTTGGTCCCTTCCTGGCTGCCCGTGTGTCTCTGCTCAAGCTTGCTCCTCTCAGCCGCCCTCCCCCAGGGAGCTGGTGTGCTGGCTGCATGACACCTAACCTGCCACGGCCCACCATGCTCCAAGAGTGAGGAAAAGACAGAAGTGGTGTCAGCGACTGGCGTCCTGGTTAAGATGCCACACTGAACACCTGCAGCCCACACTGAAGCGTCTGGCCTGAGTCTCAGTTCTGCTTCTCTTTTTTTAAACAATATCATTTATTTATATATTTTTAAAAGATTTATTTATTTATTAGAAAGACAGTTACAGATAGAGAGAAGCAGAGACAGAAAGATGGATCTTTGAATTGCTGGTTCACTCCACAAATGGCTGTAATGACTAGGGCTGGCCCAGTCCAAAGCCAGGGGCAAGAAATTTCTTCTGGATCTCCAACGTGGGTGCAGAGGCCCAGGCACCTGGGCCATCTTCTGTTGCCTTCCCAGGCACAATAGCAGGGAGCTGGATTGAAAGTGGAGTAGCTGGGACTACAACCAGCACCCATAAGGGATGCTGGCACTGCAGGTAGCAGCTTTACCCACTGCGCCACAGTGCCAGCCCCTCTTTCTTCTTTTTAATATTTATTTATTTGAAAGGCAGTTACAGAGAGGCCAAGGCAAAGAGACAGAGAAGTCTTCCACCCACTGATTCATACCCCAAGTGGTTGTAACAGCCAGAGCTGCACTGATCCAAAGCCAGGAGCCAGGAGCTTCTTCCGGGTCTCCCATGTGGGTACAGGGGCCCAAGGACTTTGGCCATCTTTTACTGTCTTTCCAGACCATAGCAGAGAGCTGGATCCAAAGTGGAGCACCTGGGACTCAAACTGGCACCCATATGGAATAGCAGCACTGCAGGTGGTGGCTTTACCTGCTACACCACAGCGCCGGCCCCTCTCTTTTTACTTTTCTTTTATTAAAAGACTTATTTATTTATTTATTTGAAAGGCAGAGTTACAGAGAGAGAAGGAGAGACAGAGATTTTCCATCCACCGGTTCACTCCCCAAATAGCTGCAATAGCCAGGGCTGGGCCAGGCTAAAGCCAGGAGCCGGGAACTCCATCCAGGTCTCCCATGTGAGTCCAGGGGTCCAAGCACTTGAGCCATCCTCTGCTGCCTTCCCAGGCACATTAGCAGAGAGCTGGATTTGAAGTGGAGCAGCTGGGACTCGAACCAGCATCCATATGGAATGCTAGCGTTGCAGGCAGTGGTTCTACTTGCTAAGCCACAATACTGGCCACCAGTTTTTTCTACACCAATGCATAAAGATGGCTGAAAAGGAAACCTCTTATGGTTGAAGCACTGACACCATGGCCTGGCTCCTAGCAATTTCTTTAACCAGGCTTTCTGCCCTTTTTAAAAAAAAAAAAAAAAAAGATTTATTTTTTTATTTACTTGAAAAAGCAGAGTGACAGAACGAGAGGAAGAGACAGAGAGATTTTCTATCCACTGTTCATGTGACAAATGTCACAACAGCTGGGGCTGGGCCAGGCCAAAGCCAGAAGCCAGGAACTCCATCCAGATCTCCTACACGGACGAGGAACCCGGTTACTTGGTCAGCAGCCACTGCCCTCCCAGATGCACTGGCAGGACGCTGTACTGGAAGCAGAGTAGCCAGTACACGAGTCAGCACTGCGCTACGGGATGTGGCTTAAACTGCTGCACCACAACACCCACCCCAAATGGCCACACGGAGCTTGTGACATGCAAGGCACACTGGACAATTAAAATGTAACTCACTGGTAGGTTTTCCCGTCAGGGAAGTGATGCTCAGTCTCCGTGCCGCGGTGGGAGATTTCTGCTGGGGTGGAGTCCGACACTGCTTGACCAGGTCCTCGTCAGAGGCCGACGTCATCAGTTCTCCAATGAGGATTCTCTCCAGGCTCCCGTCATCAATGCCTTTCCCCAGCCACCGCCCACAGGGGAATCTGAGAAGTCACAAGGAAATGGCCAGTCTTTAAAAAGTGGCACTGGCATAAGGCCCATCCTTCTACTGCCTAGGGGCTGGGTTGTTATCTAATTAAGAAATCTTTCAAAAATTAGAAAAGCAGAGAATAGCATAAAGATACTTTAAAAAGTTCATGGTCAAATGCAATGAAAAGGTAAGTTTGTTTTGGTACAAAATTTTTTCGACATCTATGCGTGGTTTTTTCATAACATGCATTTTCCAACAACGTTCTGAAGACCCCTGTCCTGTCAGATACGCATATTCTTTCCACCTAGACTTGTATTTTATCATGTTTCACTTTCGTTTTTTGTTGAGGTATTTTAAAGTAAACAGTGACTTTAGCACATTTCATTCCTAAAAAACACTTCAGTATGAGTCTCCGAAACAGGATGACGGGGGCAGGTGCTGTAGCACACTGATTCAGCTGCCACCTGGGCCTCCCGCAGCCCACCAGAGTCCCCGCTGCAAGTCCCCACTGCCCTGCTTCCAATCCAGCTTGCTGTGAACGTACTTAGGAGGTAGCACATGATGGAGACCTGGATGGAATTCCTGGCTTCTGGTTTTGGCCTGGTCCAGTCTTAGCTGTGAGCATTAGAAGAGTGAACCAGCAGATGGAATCTCTCTCTCTCTCTCTTTCTCTCTCCCTCTATCATTCTGCCTTTCAAATAAATAAATAAATAAATGAATCTTTAAAAAAGGTTAAAAAATGACATTTTCCTATTGTGTTACAAATTGTCATCAACATCCTCCAGTATCAAGAGTTCCTTATTTTTCCTAGTCTATATCAAAACTCTGCACTTAGTTGTGGAAAGAATGTATAAAGCTTTAATTTTATTATTTGAGAGGCAGAAAAAGAAAAAGATAACAGATAGAACGCCCATCTGCCTGTTCTCTCCCTGTATGTCCACAATGGCCAGGCCTAGTCTGGGGCTGAAGCCTGCAACGAAGAATGCAATCCAGGTCTCTCATGTGGGCGACGGGAACCCAACTACTCAAGCCATCACTGCTGCCTCCCAGGGCCTGCAGGAAGCTGGAGTCGGGAGCCAGAGGCAGCAGCTGGGAGCTGAATCCTGGTAACCATGACACAGGTCACAAGCATCTTAACTGCTACGCTAACTATTCATGAAAGAATATTTTCAAACTGCAAATTAATCTGAGAGTTAGGTCACAGGACAACACAGGAACATGCACCCACAGAGTTGTGCTGGCTGTACCTAACGGAGTCCAAGAGATCTTTTCCTCTTACTGAAATTATTTTGAGCTTTGTTGTTCCTTTTTTCTCAGAGTTAAAGCAATCTTTTCAACATTTGTGGACTAAGCAAGAACAACAAATGCAATCTGTTTTTTAGAAAAGTATTTTTGGGGACAGTTCTGTATTATATAAACAAAAAGAAAACATAACAAAATAAAAGCCCAAAATAAAACTAAAATTCAGAAGACAGTGAGGACACTTTGAAAACAGTTTTAAACCTTTTCTTGCCTAGAGTCACAGAACAAAGAACTCACAGCTCCCAAGGCCACTTGCTCACCTGTACGTATGTCCTGTGATCTCATTTCTGACCATGACACAGTCCACCAGCCATTTGGCTAACAGCCCTGAGTTGTCGTGACCGATCTGGACAGTGGTCAGCTTCCCCAGGTTCTGGCACTGTAGGAACACGACGCTGGTTACTCACCTGTTTCCACCCCTCCCCCTCAGCTGTGGCCATAGCACATGACAGGATGTGCAGCTTAACTGCAGTGACCCATCCTGTACAACGTGCTCAGCTACACACACATTCGCTTGTTGTCCCCGCGCTCAGGGAGCCCCTGCGCAACACAACAGGAAACACAAGGCTACGGACTACCAAATGAGGTGGGCTGCACAGGTGCTAGGCCAGACACACAGCGAGTGCTTAAAAACACCAGCGAAGGAAAGGAGATTCTACTTGGGGAACCCAGAAGAATCATGGAGATGGTGATGCAGTGAGGAATGAGAGGAACTGGAGAGTAGAAAAGGAGAGTATTTAAACCCACTTTCAGAGAGACTGCAAAAACAACCAGTGACCTAAAAATCTCACCACACGGCCACCTTTCTGTTTCCATACAACACTAAGGCAGAAAAGCCCTCCAGTGGCATCTACTGGGAGGCCGTGAAGCTGCTATTTGGAGGAAGCATACCGCAGGTCCCCACCCTAGGGATATGTCCCAAGAGCCGGAGGGTGCCCGAAGCTCCACTGCACCGAACTACGTAACACCATGTCTTCTCCCGTGCCCCTCTGTGCTGCCACACAGGACCAAGCGCATCTGTCCTTTCATGCTGTATGCCCAGGGCCTCCTCCGTATCACGGCTTTTGTGCTTGGGGCCCACTGTTAAGCAAAATAAGGTTATCCACAGAAACGCTATGCTATATTACTATATATGCTATATTACATATGCTATATATATGCTATATTACTAACAGTGGATCTAAGCGACCTACGGCTGGAAGAAAATATACTGAACAAAGGAAGGAGTCACATCCTGGGCCAGGCAGTGTAAGATTTCATCACACCAGTCAGGGTGGCACACAATTTAAACTTACAAATTGCTTATTTCTGGAACTTTCCATGCCATATATTCTGACTGTGGTTGACCCACATAACTGAAACTACTACCGTAGTTATCAATGTCCTAACTGGCCTTTTGTGGACAAGTATAACGTAAAGTAGTGATAACAGGAATCGTAAAAATGAATGCTGATTAAGTCTGACTTCTAAAATCTGATAATGGAAAGATCACAGACTACAACCGACTTTGTGCTGTGGGAACACGAGAGCTCTGAGGTCTTAAAGCGCTTGATTTCCTTGTGTCACAGTGAGACGGCACCACAGCATCTCAGCTGAGACTCACAACTCAGAGGGTAGCATCTTGCAGGGGAAGCAGGTAAACAGAGGGCAGCTGCTGAGCTGCAGCGGGCCAAACTGCTGTTTGGGACACACGCGTGCCATACTGGAATGCCATTCTGAGTCCTGGCTACTCCACCTCCAACTCAGCTTCCTGCTCATGTGCCTGGAAGGTTCACAATAATGGCTTAAGTACTGGGGTTCTGCCACACACGGGAGACCTGGATAGAGTTCCTGGCCCCTGGCTTTGGCCTGGCCCAGCTCTGGCTGTTGCAGGCACTTGGAGAGACAACCAGCAGATGGAAGATCTCTCTCTCTCACTTTCGCTGTTACTCTTTCAAATAAATAAATAAACCTTAAAAAAAGAGAAGAGAGGGAGTTTGAAAAGAGCAATAATGGCCTTACAAGGCAGTTTGTGTCCTAGCAATGTAGTCTCTGCTCTAACTGGTGGGCAAGGAAAAGCCATGGGTTTTAACATTTTATATACAGACAACTGTGGGCCTGTGACATATGGCCAAAATGGGTCCTTTGATGGGTATTATGACTGCTGGTAGAAACTGCTGTTCCAACATCCCAATGAACAGGAGAACTTACATGCAGTCCTACAACTTCCTCCTGAATCAACAGCTGGCTGGCTGTCAGCATCAGCCTGCAAGTGCGCTCACACACACAAACTACTTCATTGCCGACACCTCAACACTGACTGTTATATCTGGAGGTGTTCTTCTGAAATTACCCTGTACGTGTCATCATGTGGTCCAGGAGCCGGCTCTCCTGTTCCTCCTGTCCCAGGATGGCGAGGTTCAGGCAGCGAGGCATGAACTCGCCGTGCTGTTCCCTACTGGCCTGGTCCTGGGCTAGAACCAGGCATCACGCAGTAGGGCCTGGTCAAGCCCAGCACATGGAGCAAAGTGGAGCTTAACAACAAACAAGGTGAATACAAAACAAACTGCTGTACACTGCTTAAGACAACATCATCACAAAAATGGCCCTGCACACTTGCATGTCCCTTTACTTTCTGTGATTCAAGGACACTGCAACAGCAGAATCAGAAGGCTTCCCCAGGACCACGAGGACACTTTCCACTAGAAAGGCCGTCCGCCAGCCTACCTCAAAGGTCATCTCCAGAAGAGTTTTGGGGATCTGCATGACTCCCGTGTCCCCCAGCTCTCCGGACACACAGATCCAGGGGTGTGAGGTGATGATGGCGTTGCTCAGCTTTCTGATGGGGATGATCACGGACCTGTACGGGATCACTGAGAGGAAACACAGGCATCAGTGCAGAACTGGAACCAAGTCCTCCTGCTCACAAGATGTATCGAGAGCTCCGCCGGCTTTCACAGACAAACGGCTCGTCTCGCTCTATCTTAAAAATACTCTTTCATACGAAGATGAGATCAGAACCTCCCCCAGGCTAGCATGATGAGATCCAGGTCCCAGTACTCGTGGTGGTGGACTCCACGCATGCACATCACCCTGGACCGACGGCACTGACTGTCACCTACAAGCATGGGATGTGCAGCCCTGGAAATTCATAAACAACCTGAACCCCTGAGGATACGAATGCTGCGCCATATGGTGTTTTGAAATCAAACCCTGATACAAGTGTTTCGAAGGCAGATAGACGATATCAGCAATTCGCAGCCTCCTAGTTTCCCACCCTCGGCTTAAGGTGTCCTCACCCTTTCTCTATGGCTGCTGGGGGAGTGTGGCGACTGGCCCTGCAACACTCTCCAGTAATGGTCGGTGTTGTCTCGAGGGGTTCCTCTGCTAAGGGCGGCGTGTTCCAGGCCCAGGGAAGGAAGCATGCAGCCCCATACTGTCTGGGCCCGCTTTTCCGCACAAAGAACACAGTATCGCGGGCGAATCCAAGGGAGGCCACAAGCACCGCTGACCAAGCGAGACCCTGTGCACGTGCTGAACCTGCACTCCCACCCTCAGCTTTCCACTGTGAGATTCCCTGCAGTGACTCCCTCGGGGAGTCTGGGAACTGAGGGGCAGCTGCCCTGCTCCTAGTGCTGTGCACTGCAATGCACACCTACTCTGCCCCACTAGCCTGACTGTCAGTGACCGGCTTACTGTGTGCGCTGGGCAAGTGGACTCGTCTGGAGTTTTCCAGTAATTCCTCCTATGACTTTTGGGGTTGCTCTGTATTATTTTCACAGGTTAGTGTGTTTTAAAATCAACTGAGTGCAAACTGGGTTGGTAAAATGGTTACCAACGCAGTTTCATATGAAAAGAGGGGCAGGTGACTTCTTGGCCAGCATCTCATAACCAATTTCCCTGGGCAGGGCTTTACTGCTCTGTGCTTTATAACCTTCCCATCCCAAGTTTACAGCATGGTATTCAACGCCATGATTAACAAACGATGGCACCTCTACCCTGGACATGCTGTAAAGTCTGCAAACCACAACCTGACAAGCATTCAGGGGAACTTCATTCCTCTAAGAGGAGCCTAGGACATTCAATAAAGTGTGAGATGCTCTCCCTTCCGCGGGCTCTTCCCCAGGCATCCACTAGATGGCACCATCCCATCACAGCCCTTGGCTCAAAAGTGGAACAAGAAAGACACTACCTACTCTCTCTCCTCTCTCTTTACAAGATTTATGTATTTAAAAGGCAGAGATGCAAAGAGATCTTTCACCCACTGGTTCACTCCCCACAAGCCCGCAACAGCTGGGGCTGGACCAGACTGTGAAGCCAGGAGCCAGAGACTCCATCTGGGTCTCTTAGGTGGGCAGCAGGAACCCAAGAACTTGAGCCATCACCTGCTGCCTCCCAAGTGCATTAGCAGGAAGCTGGATCTGAAGTGGACACGGGACTTGGCACTCAGATAAGGGATGCAGGCATCTCAAGTGCCAGTGTATCCTAATCCCGCTGTGCCCCAATCCCATCCCTCCAAGAAACGGGGGTGGTGCAGGCCCATCAGCAAATTTCTGTCCTTCAGAGCCAAAAGTTTTTTTTTTTTTTTTTTTTTTTTTTAAGGAAATAGGCTGGAATTAGTCTTTCCTGTTGGTGTCCTGGGGACTTCTGCTTCTCTGGCTATAGGAGGGCATGTCAGAGCCCACCCTCCACCCCCACCCCCCGCCCCCTTGCAAGGTCAACACATGGGATGAAAAGACATTTCCTGGATCAGGGACCCAGGCCCAGCCTCACTCTAGGAGCTCATGACCAGCATTCACAGGTGAGGGAAAGGAGGGGACAGACAGTTCGTTTCCCTGATTTTACATAAACGACTTGATTTATGCTAGGCAGATAACCTCGCTTTCTGTGCATGTATTTTAGCTGAAGGAGAGACAGTGTCACAGGGAAGAGCACCCTTGTCATGGTTTATAACCACTGGAATCAAGAGGGCTGGAGACTGGCACCGGCGGAGGTCAGTGTAAGGCCTCATTCCTGGTGCCCTAGACCTCTCTCGTTCCTTCCAGTGCCAGGACTACGAGAGCTGCAGAACAACGCCGGTTTGGGCGAGCAGTTCCGTGGCTGCGAAGAACCCACGGTGACTTCAGCTTCAGTACAAGAAAGCGCTGTTATGAACTCATGTGACTTCTTCCACGAGGTGTCTCAAGTCCTCCAACTAAAACAGCTATTCAGGTGCAGGAAGCCTGCAGCTACTTCCTCTCTGTTAAAACTGTAGAACATCTCAGACTCCGACTCCACAGTCGCCTGATAGACAGTGTCTCGGCAGGTACCAGAGGCTGGCCCGGGAGCCACTCCAGCTCCCTTTTCCTTGCCTGCCTCCAGCAGAGACTATCAAGCCAAGATCTACACAGTTCTGGCCACTGATGTGACAGTGATGCCACTGGGATATTTTTGAGAAAACTGTTTTTCTGGCACAGATCCTGCCCCCCACCCTCTTTCCTGCTGCAAGCTATGTTAAGAACCCCCCTGTGACCATGAGGCAACCAGCACGCACAGAGGGTGCAGAAGAGAAGGGACGGGGTGGAGTCAGGACAGCACAGCAAGCTGCCCGCCTTGAGACTTCTTATTATGCAAGAAAAACCAGTGGCTTCAACCCCTGCTTTTCAAGTTTCTGATCCCTGTAGTTGAACACAATTCCTAAGTGATGCAAGGAAAAGTCCTCCAGAGGAGGGAAGGGACCTCCTCCTACAAGTGAGGATTAGAAATGGTATAAAGAATAAATGTTGTAATCCAGCTTTCCATCAAAAACACATCTCCCATCAGCATCTCCTCCTGAAGTCTTCCTGAATCATCAAAGCTCAGGGACGTTCAGTTATGTAAGTTTTTTTTTTTTTTAATATCTATTCATTTATTTGAAAGGCAGAATTACAAAGAGACACAGAGAGAGGGAAAGACAGAGAGAGGGAATGACAGAGAGCTTTTCCATCCATTGGTTCACTCTCCAAATGTTCCCAACGGCCAGGGCTTCTTCCAGGTCTCCCATGTGGGTGCAGGAGCCCAAGCGCTTGGGCCATCCTTTGCTGCTTTCCCAGGTGCATTAGCAGGGAGCTGGATCAGAAATGGAGCAGCTGGGACTTGAACCGGCACCCACAAAGATACCAGGGCTGCAGGTGCTGGCTATACCTGCTACGCCACAGCGCTAGCCCCTATTATAATTATTATAAACTGATTCTTTGAATGTAGAGGTTTTAGATACGATATTGGGATATTTACTCAATACAACATTTCTTTACATCCATCCTAGGTGACATTTCCCATCAACTGGCTTTCCCGGAACACAGACGGAGTTAGAAACCGGCAAGCACAGGGCAGGCCATGCGGTGCGGTAGTTGAGCTGCTGCTCAGGATGCCCACATTCTGCACCTGAGAGCCAGCTGGAGTCCCGGCACCTCTGCTTCTGACCCAGCTTCCTGCTGGGGTACCTAGCAGGCAGCAGGCGGTGGCTCAAGTACTTGGGGTCCCTGCCATCCATGTGGGAGATCTGAATGTAGTTCCCAGCTCCTGGCTTTGGTCTGCCCAGCCCTGGCTGTTGTGGGCATCTGAGGAGTGAACCAATAGCTGGAACACACTTCTCTTTCTCTGTTCCTTTTTTTTTTCTTTTTCTGAAATATTTATTTATTTTATTTGAAAGTCAAGAGTATTAGTGAAAGAAATCTTTCATCTACTACTGGTTCACAACTCAAATGCCAGTGAGAGGCAGAGCTAGGCCAGGTCAAAGTAAGGAGCTAGGAACTCCATCTAGATCTCCCAAAATGTGTGGTACAAACTGAAGCTGCCTCCCAGGAACATTAGCAGGAAGCTGGATCAGAAACTCGGGAGTGGGGTTGGTGCTGTGGTGCAGCAGGTAAAGCTGCTGCCTGCAGTGCCAAAATACCACATTGGGCACCGGTTCAAGTCCTGGCTGCTCCTCTTCCAACCCAGCTCTCTGCTGTGGCCTGGGAAAGCAGTAGAAGATGGCCCAAGTTCTTGGATCCCTGCACCTGCATGGGAGACCCAGAGGAAGCTCCTAGCTCCTGGCTCCTGGCTTCAGATCAGCACAGCTCCAGCCATTGTAGCCAACTGGGGAGTGAACCAGCAGATGGAAGATGTATCTCTCTCTCTGCTTCTCCTCCTCTCTCTGTTTAACTCCAACTTTCAAATAAATAAATAAATCTTTATTAAAAAAAAAGCAAACTTGGGAGTATCTGGGACTGCAACTGGCATACCAATGTCAGATGACAGCGTCCTAAGCGATGGTATAACTTGGTGCACCACAATATCTGCTCCACTCTCACTTATAAAAAAATAAAAACAACTGTAACTGTAACAAACTTTAAAGAAAGGAAGAAATTGGCAAGCAATGCTACTCCTAGACCTGCATGTGAGAAAGCCAGCAGGATGGGGTGAGGGAGACGCTTGCTGGTCACATCGTGGTCTCAATGAGGGGGCAGTGGGGATCAAGGACGGCCCTGGGGTCAGTCCTCGGATGCTGGTGGAAGTGAATGCTTGAGTGAGGTGCTCTCCCCACCCAGGCTGACAGCCGAGGCTGTCACGGGCAGCATTCCTAGCTGGGCAATAGCTTCTTCCCTAGCGGAGATCTGGGTGCGCTCATTGTACTGGGATATATGTCCCTTTTAAAGCTCAAATGCGTCTATTCCTTTAGTCATGTGGTGCCTGTCCCTGCGCCAGGCGGTTCTCCAGACTTACTGATGGTGGTGAACACGCTGGTAAAGCAGAAGTAGTCCACGGCATTGAGGGAGAGAAGGTGGTAGAGGAACTGCTCGCGCTCTTCCTCACAACGCAGAAAAGCGTACCGTTTGTAGAGCTTCCTAGAAGGGTCAGACAAGCACAAACAATGGTATGAGGTGCTCTTCCTGCTTTCCATTGTGTCTTGATTAAAAGCAAACACCTCCACTTAGACAAACAACGGTGAGAAACTTTATTCTTCAAAGAACCAAAAATTCACAGACGAACACTCCACGGTTAATAAAAACACTTTTAATCTAACTTGTCGCTAAAGGAAGAAGCCCCCGTGGGTCCACTTTGGTGATCAAACTAACAAGGATGCAGGAGTGCACAGGCACGGGGTACAGCCATTCTCACACTGTGGGACGGAAAACTCAGCACTCAACCTTTTAAATCAGGCGTATCTCCAATCTCATCAAGTTTACTTTTCAAATTCAGTGTAAGGATTCAGTGTACAATGTGGGATTTACTCACACATGTGGGATTTACCCAGCGAGGATACCATGATGTTTGCATATGCTGGGACTGTTTGTGCCATCATCTAGAAAGCTTTGACAACAGAAAAACTACTCCTACTAGAAATAATACATAGATTTTATTGAACACTTACATTTAAGTGCTTTCCCAAGTGTTTTGAGGCACACACACTTCTCATGACTATCCTATGAGGTAATTATTTTAGCATCCTCATTTTAGGGATAAGGAAAACAGACACAGACAAACCAGGTATCCTCCGTAAAGCCATTCAAACAGTAAAGAGTAAAGGCAAAATTCAAACACAGGTTTCCAGATGTCAGAGATTCAACTCCTGTGGTACAGTGAAATGTTTCTCAATGCTGAATTGCCAACTTAGCATAATCTTAACTAACAGAAAATGCATGGAAGAAAGCAAGCATAGGAGATACTTGGTGTTCTTTTTTATGAAGCAGAATTACAAATGACCTTGACTTTCTCCTCTGTTCCATAGCCACAATGGGCATGGATGACTTTCATAATTAGAAGAGAAGTCAGACACTGATACCCAGGTCAGGCTCTCTGTCACACTGCATTCTTTATCAAACCTACTCTGTGGACGTTAGACTCATTCTCAAATGCCCCAGGGCCAGATGTACAAAAAGCACTGGGTTATCATGCCAGGATTCCAACAAACTGTCAGGTCTGATGCCTCTGCTGAATTCTCAGCTAAACATCTTCTGCCTTCACATTAGATCCGATTATGCAACCTGGACAATGGATTTCATCCAACATGGCTCCTCAGTAGAGGAAAGGGAAACCACTAGAGAAGCCCACAGCTGACGGACACACCCTTGACTGGTCTCTCGGAAGAAGACCTGTACTCTGGAGCTGCATCTGCTCTTCTTCCACTCCAGGTTTTGCTATGAGTTTTGCACTATGAGGCTTATATATTTCTTTCGCATCTGATGGACAGCTTGGATGGACCAGTTAGCCTCTCCTCTATTTAGAAGGCAGTGAATTATTTGGTGTCTTCTCCCAGAAATGATCAAGCACTTTGTCAAGGAGGAGTTTCTGAGGCATGTGCTATTAAGACAAGAAGGATGCGAGTACCCAGGCATGTCAGTTCACGCCTGAGAAGCCACATCGGTGCAGTGATCTGCTGTGTAACTACACAGTTCAGGGCAACAGGAGGTCTTAGAAGGCCGTATCTTACTTGGTGAGGGGCTGGTTAGAGAGTAACTGCTTGAGATGCTGTGACAGGAGCTTCTTCTCTAGAGACAGCCTTATCCACGCCCGAGCCCGGCCAACATCAGTCTTAATCTCGCTCATGTTCTGAATATGCCTGAGGAGGAGAAGAAAAGCAAGGCTGCAGACTCTGAAAGAACTGTGACCTGGAAAAACAATACGGTTACCAGAGGCAGGCACAGCAAAGTTCTTCTGTTCTTGAGGAGCATGGTAACACAGGATCCAGGCTGACCAGGGCTTCAAAGTTGCCCTCTGAATCAGGAAGCGGGGTCCCCCCAGTGGCTGCGATTACAACCCCAGCACACAAGCAGCAAGTTACCGCAGAGCATCCGAGCTCCTTCACTAAGGCAGACTTTGCTGTGTCCTCGTTTCAGCCTCACAGGTACCTGTGAACAGTCACTAGGATATTCCTGACCCTCAGCAAATAAAACAAAACAGATGCAAATTCAAGTTTTTATCCAGAATAATTATTCTGTAGTTTAATATCTTCCACAACTTTAATTCATAATGAATTATTTTTTAAGTTTCCCAAGACAATATATGGAAAACAGGAAACCTTACTTTCCATGGCATTAAGAGAAGACCAAATATACTGCACTGCAACCAGAAAAATCTACAAGCTGGACACTGTGGCCAGACTTCAGCTCAGCCGGGCATGGGTGCACAAATCAGCACTCAGGGCTGCACTGATCTTCCCACCAAGGGGAGGCCTGAGCCGGGGTAGGTGTAAACTGCTGCAGTGAGGCACAGCCAGCCTCTGCTCCCGGGACCCACTACTCCTTCAAGTCTACCTCCAGAACAACTCATCCTGGCTGTAACAAACACTGCAACAAATCCCACCACTGCTGACCGTCATTGTTCAGAATAGGAAATACCCTCCTGGCAGCATACACACAACACACACACACACACAACACACACAACACACACAACACAACACATTCTTCCCTGCTTACTGCTCCTTCCCCTCCTCTCTCTCTCTCACTGAAGACACGAGTCCTCAATGATCAGTACTAACAAAGGATAATTTTTTTTTTTTTAAGATTCATTTATTAGGGCCGGTGCTGTGGCACAGCGAGTTAAAGCCCTAGTCTGAAGCGCAAGCATCCCATTTGGGCGCCAGTTCTAGTCCCAGCTGCACCTCTTCTGATCTAGCTCTCTGCTATGGCCCGGGGAAGCAGGAGAAGATGGCCCAAATCCTTGGCCCCTGCACACATCTGGGAGACCCAAAAGAAGCTCCTGGCTCCTGGCTTTGGATCAGCGTGGCTACGGCCACTGCGGCCATTTGGGGAGTGAACCAGCACATTTTTGGAAAACTCTCTGTCTCTACCTCTCTCTCTAACTCTGTCTTTCAAATATAAAAATCTTTTTAAAAAAGATTTATTTATCTATTTGGAAGGCAGAGTTACACAGAGGCAGAGGTAGAAAGAAAGAGAAGCCTTCCACTCGCTGGTTCACTCCCCAAATGGTCACAACGGCCAGAACTTGGCTGACTGGCGTCAGGAGCCTGGAGCTTCTTTTGGGTTTCCCATGTGGGTGCAGGGGCCAAAGTGCTGGCCCCAAATAATCACTCCTGCTAATATGCAAAGCATTATGTTACATTACACAGGCCCACTAAAGGAGTGGCTTAAAAACAAGTTGGGGGGGGTGGGGCTGGCGCTGTGGCGTAGTGGATAAAGCCACTGCCTGCAGTGCCGGCATTCTGTATGGGTGCTGCTTGAGTCCTGGCTGCTCCACTTTCAATCCAGCTCTCTGATATAGCCTGGAAAAGCAGTGCAAGATGGGCCAAGTCCTTGGACTCCTATACCCATGTGGGGGACCTGGAAGAAGCTCCTGGCTCCCAGTTTAGGACCAGCTCAGCTCCGGCCGTTGTGACCATTGGTGAGTGAACCAGCAGATGGAAGACCTTTCTCTCTCTGCCTCAGCCTCTCTGTAGCTCTGCCTTGCAAATAAATAAATATTTAAAAGAAAAAAATGGGGGAGGGGCTACAACATCAAAGGCCACTGCAAATAGTTTAATGCTGCTTTTATGTATTTGATGTGGCAGGTGGAGAAAGACAAAGTAGAAAACAGCTATAATTTTAAAGCATCAATGTTTAAAGACAATGAGAAGACTGGAACACACACAGTGAAATCTCTTGTTGGTGGCAAGAGGCACTCCCATCACAGTGTTTCTGCAGTGTCTCTGGAAGGAGGCACGGGAGGTGGGAGGGGAGGTCACTGGGTCTTCTCAAGCCCACTTTGTTCACGGGCACTGGGGAAATTAATCTGCCAAAAATGTTGCCTCCCAAATTCCTTAGCTCCAGGACCTGTAAAAGCTCCAGAGAATACAGCCTGACCTGCTCAGGCTGGCATTCAAAGCCTACCTCCCTTGGTCTTGACGTCTCTTCTCAACACCATCTTCCACCTGCCTCTCAAGGCTTTGCCTATCAGTGCCTGAAGCACTTACTCTCTCCCGGCTGCCTGCTCGATTCCATCCACCTCTGAGATCCCGACTTCTTCCAGAAAGCACCCCTTCCAGGAAGAGCCCACCACATCTCTCATGTATCTTTATTTATCACCAGGCTACCAATTCCTTGCCACCTTCCCTGCACTACTGATTCCTTCCACCATTTCCTCCGCCATGCTTTCTTATAGTCTGATAGAAGCTCGGCAAGGACAGGAGACCAATACCTCTGAGTCCCAGGCACCTTTCTTTACACCCTGGATGGCCTAGCACATAACAGGCGCTCAAACAACTGCTGCTTTCTCAACCTCTTCCTAATTTTACATTTTGGAGCAATTTAAATATGTTGTGTTATGTTGTATGGTTACACTACTTAAAGTTGTTTTTAACTGGAATAATTCATTATATGTAATTATCATGGCATTGAGCACAATATTATGGATACTTCTTCCAAAAACAGATCCTGTTAATTCACAAAACATCATGTATGATGCAACATATGATGTTTAAATAACTTCTTTACTTGATTTGTCTCTAACCATGGTGCAAAACTTTCTAAGAAAAAAAACTTATGGACTTCGTCTCATCTGATCGTCACCATAACTGATGGGAGACACCACCGTTATTTCACACACATGAGGAGATGGACTGAGCATCTGGCACAGTGATTACGATGCTACTTGGGAGGACTGCATCCCATGCCAAAGTGCCTAGGTTTGAGGTTCGAGTCCTGGCTCTGCTTCCAATTCACGCTTCCTGCTAATGTGCATTCTGGGAGGGAGCAGGCAATGCCCCATGTACTTGAGTCCCTGCCATCCTAGTTGGAAACCTGGATTGAGTTCCACGTTCCTGGTTTCACCAGCCGTGGGTGTTAAAGGAATTCGAGGAGTAAACCAGTGGATGGGAGACCAGTCTCTCTCTTCCTCTTTAAAATTAACATCAATAAAGGGAGGGGACTGAGGCTCACTGAAGTTCACAGGTATTAACAGCTATCACTCCAGAGATGCCGTGTTTCTTCTACCAACCCCATTTCCTGGGGTTCATGTTCCAAGGGGCTCCCCACAGCCAGGACCCACTGGAAAAGCAGCACCTACCTGATTACTGAGCCCACTACATCTCGCACAAATCGGGACTTAGTACATTGTAAAACCAAGTTAGGTTTTGTTGAATGCTTGAAGTAGAAAGGAATTAAAGCTAGGCCTCAGGAAACCACCGGCACAGCAAAGCTGGAAAGGACGGGAAGGGAGATGCAGACAGAGTGCAGTCTGTGACAAGCCTGTTCCAGTCTACTCCAGATCCCTTTTCTGGATCCTAGCAGATCCTTACATATTTCCAAAAAACCTCTTTCTTTGCTGAAGGTGGTTCAAACGGGCATCTGTTTCCTAAGGGCAAAATATTATTATTTTTTCTTTTTGATAGGCAGAGTTAGACAGTGAAAGAGAGACAGACAGAGGGTTATAGACAGTGAGAGAGAGAGAGACAGAGAGAAAGGTCTTCCTTCCATTGGTTCACCCCCCTAATGGCCGCTACGGCCAGCGCTGTGCCAATCTGAATCCAGGAGCCAGGTGCTTCTCCTGGTCTCCCATGCGGGTGCAGGGCCCAAGCACTTGGGCCATCCTCCACTGCCCTCCCAGGCCACAGCAGAGAACTGGACTGGAAGAGGAGCAACCAGGACTAGAACCTGGGGTGCCGGCGCTACAGGCGGAGGATTAGCTAACTGAGCCATGGCCCCGGCCAGGGTAAATGATTAAGAGAATGGCAGCACCTGAGTTTCATTCACGTTCCCTGAGTACAAAACTGGAGCTTATTTCTTATTTTTAATTTCCCTGTTTACCTGTTTAGAGAAAGATTTTCTTTTTTTTATTTTTTCCCCCAGAAACTTTTTATTTAAGGAATACAAACTTCCTGCATTTCATAAACACAACTTTAAAGACATAGTGATTCTTCCCACTGTACCTGCCCCACCCCATACTCCTATCCTTCTTTGTCCTCACTCTCCTATTCTCATTCTTATTTTTTACTAAGATTTCTTTTCTTTTTTCTTTTTTTTTTTTTTTTTGACAGGCAGAGTGGATAGTGAGAGAGAGACAGAGAGAAAGGTCTTCTTCCTTCCTTTGCCGTTGGTTCATCCTCCAACGGCCGCCACAGCCGGCGCACTGCGGCCGGCGCACTGCGCTGATCCGAAGCCAGGAGCCAGGTGCTTCTCCTGGTCTCCCTTGGGTGCAGGGCCGAAGGACTTGGGCCATCCTCCACTGCACTCCCTGGCCACAGCAGAGAGCTGGCCTGGAAGAGGGGCAACCGGGACAGAATCCGGCGCCCCGACCGGGACTAGAACCCAGTGTGCCAGCGCTGCAAGGCGGAGGATTAGCCTAGTGAGCCGTGGCGCCGGCCAAGATTTATTTTCAATTAACTTTATAACATACAATTAACTCTACACTAAGTAAAGAATTCAACAAATTCAACAACAACAACAACAAAATGTTTCCCAACATTCAAGACAAGGGCTGTTCAAAGTCACTGCATCTCTAAGTGTTAATTTCCCTTTTATAGATTACCTTTCAGGTGCTCTATTGGTTATTACAGATCAGGGAGAACATATGGTATTTGGCCTTTCGGGACCAGCTTATTTGACTAAGTATGATGTTTTCCAC